TAAACACCGTGTGTAAATGCTGATATTATAAATATCAGAGCGACATTTCTTTAATATCATAGTGTGTAAACACTGAATATTATAAATATGAGAGCGATACTTCATTAATATCATAGTACGTAAACACTGTCTAAACACTGGATATTATAAATATTAAAGTAATATGTTATTAATATCCCAGTGTGTAAATACTGTGTCTCAACACTGGATATTATAAATATCAGAGCAATATTTCATTAATATTTTAGCGTATAAGCACTGGATATTATAAATATCAGAGTGATACTTCAGTAATATTTTAGTGTATAAGCACTGGATGTTATAATTATCAGAGTTATATTTCATTAATATCACAATGTGTAAACACTGGATATTATAAATATCATGGTGATATTTTATTACTATCTCAGTGTGTAAACACTAGATGTTATAAATATCAGAGCCATATTCCATTACTATCACAGTGTGTGAATACTGGATAATATACATCTCAGAGAAATATTTCATGAATATCACAATGTGTAAACACTGGATATTATAAATATCAGAGCCATATTTCATGAATATCAGTGTGTAAACAATGGATATTATAAATATCAGAGTGATATTTCACTCACTGGATATTATAAACATCATCAGAGAGAAATTTCATTAATATCACTGTGTAAACCCTGGATATTATTAATATCATCAGAGCAATATTTCATTAATATCACAGTGTGTAAACACTAGATATTGTAAATATCATCACACCGATATTTCATTAATATCATAGTGTGTAAACACTGGATATTACAAGTAACATCAGGGTGGTATTTTGTTAATATCACAGTGTGTCAACACTGGATATTACAATTAGTATCATGAGAGCAATATTTCATTAATATCACAGTGTATAAACCCTGGATATTACATGTATCCTCAACAGAATGATATTCATTAATATCACAGTTTGTAAACCCTGGATACTATAAATATCACAGCAAAATTTCCCTAACATCACAGTATGTACACGGTGGATACTATAAATATCAGTGCAAAAGTTCCCCAGTATCACAATGCGTAAATCCTGGATACTCTAAATACGAGAGCAAAAATTCCCTGGTATCACAGTGTAAACCCTGGATTCTATAAATATTAGAGTTAAATTTCCCTAGTATCACAGTGTGTAAACCCTGGATACTATAAATATCAAAACAAAATTTTCCTAGTATCACGGTGTGTAAACGCTTTGTGTAAACACTGGAAATTACATATATCAGACTGATATTTCACTAGTGTCACAGTGTGTAAACCCTGTGTGTGAACTCTGGATATTATAAATACCAGAGTGATATTTCACTAATGTCACAGTGTGTAAACACTGAATATTATAAATATCAGGGCAAAATTTCATGAATGTCTCAGTATGTAAATACTGGATATTAGTAATATCAGAGAGAAATTTTACTAATGTCACAGTGTGTAAACACTAGATATTACAAATACCAGACCAAAATTTCCCTATATCACCATGTGTAAACACTGTATACTATAAATATCAGAGCAGTATTTCACTAGTGTCACAGTGTGTAAACACTTTGTGTAAACACTGGATATTATAAATATCAGAATGATATTTCACTAGTATTACAGTGTGTAACCACTGGATATTATAAATATCAGAGTGATATTTCACTAGCATCATAGTGTGTAATCACCGTATATTATAAATATCAGAGAGATAGTTCATTAATATCACAGCGTGTAAACACTGTGTGTAAACACTGGATGTTATAAATATCACAGCGATATTTCACTGATATCACAGTGTGTAACCACTGAGTATTGTAAATATCACAGCGACGTTTTACCAACATCACAGTGTGTAACCACTGGAAACTGTAAATATCACAGTGATATTTCACCGATATCACAGTGTGTAACCAGTGTGTAAACAGAGGATACTGTAAATATCATAGCAATATTTTGCCAGTATCACAGTGCCGGTATCACAGTCATATTTCATTGATATCACAGTGTGTAAACTCTGAATATTGTAAATATCACAGCGATATTTCATTAATGTCACAGTGTGTAAGCACTGTGTGTAAACAATGGATATTATGAATATCACAGGGATATTTCATTAAAGCCACAGTGTGTAAGCATTGTGTGTACACTGGATATTATGAAGATAATAGTGATATTTTATTAACATCACAGTGTGTAAGTACTGTGTGGAAACACTGGATATTATGAATATCACAGCGATATTTCATTAATATCACACTGGATATTATAAAAATCACAGCGATATTTAATTAACATTACAGTGCATAAACACTTTGTGTAAACATTAGATATTGTAAATATCACAGCGATATTTCATCAGTATCACAGTTTGTAAACACTGGATATTATAAATATCACAGCGATATTTCATTTATATCACGATGTGTAAGCACCGGATATTATAAATATCATAGCGATGTTTGCTTAATATCACGGTATGTAAACACTGTATATTATAAATATCACAGTCATATTTTATAAATATCACGGTGTGTAAACACTGGATATTATAAATATCACATTGATATTTCATTGATGTCATGGTATGTAAACACTGGATGTTGTAAACCTCAGTGACATTTCATTGATGTCATGGTGTGTAAACACTTGATATTATAAATATCACAGAGATATTTCATTGATATCACAGTGTGTAAACACTGGATAGTATAAATATCACAGCCATATTTTATTAATATCACGGTGTGTAAACACTGGATATTACAAATATCACAGCGATATTTCATTGATGTCATGGTGTGTAAACACTGGATGTTGTAAATATCACAGCGATATTTCATTAATATCACAAACTGGCCCACTGACCCAGGGCCAGCCACAATATGACTTTCATGGGCCCTAGCTACTTTTGTTTTTGTTCTCCCCTTCTTCCATAAAATAATTTAAAAATGAATATTTTATGACTGCATTCATATAAAAATGACTGTAATCCAAGCTGGATTCATTATTATATATTGCTTTTATTACATTCCTTTTCTTCTTCTAATTTAAAAAGAAATTACAATTAAAACATTTACACAGGTCCCTAAAATTACTGTGTGCCTCCTGTGCCTCTAAGGGAGAAGTCAGCCCTACACTGACCCCTGGATTCTCAGCTCGCACCAGGCTCACACACACTTTTCTCCTCCAGCCCCTTTCTGCTGTCTTTGCACAAACTTTGCCCTCTTCCTTGAACACTCTCCCTCACCCTTTGCCTCATTTATCTCCACTATCCCGCACAGAACATCAGAATCCCCTTACAGCACAGATCACTGGGCCTGACTCCTGGCTTCTGATTCAGCAGGTGTGGCGTGGGCCCCCAAAGTTCATTTTTTATTCCCTCCCTCCTCCCCTCCCCCCTCCCCCTCCCCCCTCCCCTCCCCCCTCCCCCTCCCCCCCCCTCCCCCTCCCCCTCCCCCCTCCCCCTCCCCCCTCCCCCCCCTTCCTCCCTTCCTCCCTTCCTCCCTTCCTCCCTTCCTTTCTTCCTTCCTTCCCGAAACAGAGTTTTGCTTTTCTTGCCCAGGTTGGAGCGCAATGACACGATCTTGGCCTACTGTAACCTCTGCCTCCCAGGTTCAAGCAATTGTCCTGCCTCAGCCTCTCTAGTAGCTGGGATTACAGGCGTCCGCCACCGGCAAATTTTTGTATTTTTAGTAGAGACAGGGTTTCACCATGTCGGCCAGGCTGGTCTCAAATTCCTGACCTCAGGTGATCCACCTGATTCGGCTTCCCGAAGTGCTGGGATTACAGGTGTGAGTCACCGCACATGGCCCAGAGTCCACATTTTTAACAGGACCAAAGTGATCCTGATGCTGCTGGTCTGAGGACCACACTTTGAGAACTGCTGCTTTCAAAATGAACTGCACTTCTATTTCCTCTACCAACCATTCTCTGCCTCCTAATTTGGTCACATTTCTCCTTCGCACGCTCAAGAAGGACCAAAGGCCGCTGCTTTATCTGTGTGAGCTTTTTTTTTTTTTTTTTTGCATTAAAAACTTTTTGTCGTCTTCTTACTATTTTTGAGACAGGGTCTACCTCTGTCAGGCTGGAGTGCAGTGGCGCAATCACTGCTCACTGCAGCTTCGACCTCCTGGGCCCAAGCGATCCTCCTACCTCAGCCTCTTGAGTAGCTGGGACCACAGGTGCGTGCCACCACGCCTGGCTAATTTTTTATTTTGTAGAGATGGGGTTTCCCCATGTTGCCCAGGCTGGTCTGGAACTCCTGGATTCAAGTAATCCTCCCCTCTTGGCCTCCCAAAGTGTTGGGATTACAAGCATACGCCACTGCATCCAGCCTTGTGTGATTAATTTATGTTTCTACCATTTGACTGTGAGCTCCACGTGTCTTTTCCCTAGCTGTGGGATCTGCAAGTGCTGACAGCAGTTCAAAAAAGTTGAATGAATCACCTTAACCTTCCAGCAACAGTGGATGCGAGTATAAAATCCTATCACCTCACCAGCACGGTATTTCCTTCCTTCCTTCCTTCCTTCCTTCCTTCCTTCCTTCCTTCCTTCCTTCCTTCCTTCCTTCCTTCCTTCCTTCCTTCCTTCCTTCCTTCCTTCCTTCCTTCCTTCCTTCCTTCCTCCCTCCCTCCCTCCCTTCCCTCCCTCCCTCCCTCCTTCCCTCCTTCCTTCCTCCCTCCCTCCCTTCTTTCTTTCTTTCTTATTTATTTATTTATTTTTTTAACTCTTCCAGCTCTAAATTCCACAACTCCTGTACCTCTTGCTTCCATAGAAGCCCAAGGAGCCGGGCAGAAAGTGCTTTGCGCAACCGGGGAGACCCGGCCCTAAGCCCCGCCCCGCGCCTCTAGTCCCGCCTCTGGTCATAAGCCCCACCTCGATCCCAGCCTCCGACCCCAGAGCTAGCCCCGCCCCACCCCTGTCTCCGCCCCTGACCCCGTCCCGCCTCCTGTTCTAAGCCCCGCCCCTCTCTCTGGCTTTAGGCCGCGCCCGGGCCCAGAGCCGCTCTGCGCAAGCGCGACCGGCGGAGCACCTCCGAGGAGTCCGCCCGGAAACAAATATTCCCCAGGGCAATGTCACCACCTGGTCTTCCCCAGGAGCCAGACAGGTAAAGCCTTTCCAGGTCCTGGCGCCCCGAGCTTGGCCAGGCCCGGCCTTGATAGCAGCGAAGCCACCGAGGCCTTTAGTCCGGGACCGATTTTGCAGCTTCCGCCAGTCCACCTGCGAGCCCCGGATGGGAGCATTCGCCTCCAGCAACCCGCAGGGTCCCCGAACTTTTGCACCTGCTCTGGCCAGTAACGGAGCCGGCTTTAGCCACTATGGTTTACATACACGCTGCTCCCCTTCCCAGCCGCCTTGGCTCTTCTGCAATCCGCGTCTCCAGAGTTGGACCCCAGGACCCCCGAGGGTGGCACAGCCCTACACCAGGCAGCCCCAGATTCAAGTCCCCCAGTGGCTACTTCCAGTTGTGACCTTGGGTCTGTCAGTTACGTAAGCTCTCTGACCCTAGAGGTGACCCTGTGATCACTTGCCGGGCTGTTGTGAGGATAAAATGAGAAACGTGGAAAGTGAGACCATGCTCAGAACGGGGTGGCTGCTACTGCTGTTGATATCTTGGTGATTATTCCAGCGGCCAGTCCCTAAAGTGGACAGATACGTTTTTGCAGCCTTGTACTTCAGCTGGTTTCTCTGGTCACTTCTGCGGTTTCTGGGTGGTTAAAAGCCACCATTCCACAGTTTCCTTTTCTGGAGGCGGGCCTGCGAGCATCAGATGTACTGTGCAATCCCCTGTGCCAGCATTCAGTGATTCTTTCCAGGCCATTTGGTCGTTGAAATCCACTGCTGTTACCCAACCACATCTAGTGAGCACCCTGCCATCTAGAAAGAGGCAAAAAATAGCAAATATCTCCTGCAAACAACTGCTTATCTAATGATGGGGAGATTTATGACAGTGGTTACCATTCACTGAGCACCAGCTGTGTCCCAGCCACAGTATATGAACTGCATCATTTAATCTGCATACATATCCTCAAGCCTGACACAAATGAAGATGAAACTCAGAGAAGTCATTCCTGTACACTTTTTTTTTTTTTTGAGACAGTCTCACTCTGCCGCCCAGGCTTACAGCGCAGTAGGCAATCTCGGCTCACTGCAGGCTCTGCCTCCTGAATTCAAGCGATTCTCCTGCCTCAACCTCCTGAGTAGCTGGGATTACAGGCATGTGCCACGATGCCCGGCTAATTTTTGTAGTTTTAGTAGAGGTGGGGTTTTACCATGTTGGCCAGGCTGGTCTCAAACTCATGACTTCAAGTGATGCATCTGCCTCAGCCTCCCCAAGTGCTGGGATTACAGGCGTGAACCACTGTACCAGGCCTCCTATACACATTTGAAGCCAATTCTGGGTATCTTAAACATCTGATTCTGCCCACTATGCAAAACTGCCATCCCACAGAAAAAGTAAAATCAACTGTTCCTTTTCTAGGGCTGCCATAACAGAGTACCACACACTGAGTGGTTTAAAACAATAGAAATGGTCTCTCATGGCTGGAAGTCCGAAATCAAGGTGTCAGCAGGGCCACACTGCCTTAGAAGGCTCTGGGGGCAACCTTTCCTTGCCTCTTCCAGTTTCTGGTGGTTTCTGGCATTCCTTGGCTCACAGCAGCATCACTTCAACCTCTGCTGCCATCTTCACATGGTCTTCTTCCCTGTGTGTGTGTCTCCGTGTTTTTTCTTCTTCTTTAATTTAATTTAATTTTATTTTTTATTGAGTTGGGTCTCACTCTGTCACCCAGGCTGGAGTGCAGTGGTGCAATCATGGCTCACTGCAGCCTTGAACTCTAGGACTCAAGTGATCTCCCACGTCCACCTCCCAAGTAGCTAAGAATAGAGTTGCATGCCCTATGCCCAGGCTAATTTATCCTTTTTTTTTTCTTTTGTAGAGACAGGGTCTTGCTATGTTGACCAGGCTTGTTTCAAACTCCTGGGCCCAAGCAATGCTCTCGCCTCAACCTCCCAGTTTTGGGATTACAGGCGTGAGCTACCGCACTTGGTTTGTTTCTGGTTCTTATAAGGACAACAGTCATTGGATTTAGAGCTCACTTTAATTACATCTAAAAAGATCCTATATCTGAATAAAGTCATACTCTGAAGTTTGGGGTAGACATGAATTTCAGGGGTGAGGAGATACTGTTCAACCCACTATACAAACTAGCAGCAAAACACACCTGTCAAAAGGACCAAAACAAGTCCACATAGGAAGGCACCATTTGTGGTTATAAATCCAAATACTTGCATATTATTGGGAAATTGTTCTCAAAATGTGTTCCCCTGTCCACAGCGTCAGTAACACTGTCATGTGGGAGTTTGATACAAATGCTAATTCTCAGGCCCTACATGAGAGTTACTGAGTCACAGTCTGGGACTGAACCTAGCAGTCTATGTGACAGCCAGCCCTCCAGGTGATTCTGTTGCTGCTAAAGTTTGGGAACCACTGTTATAAGGCAGTTGAAGACACAGGAGTTTGAGAACATAAGGGCCAGCTTAACAGAAGGTGGTCTTCTAACCTTAACAATGACGTTTTCATCAAACCTGTCTTCTCTGAATATAATTGTGGATTTCAAAATTCAACTATTGCATTATTGAAAAAACATTTTACCATACTTTACGTTTCAAAGAGAACCTGTGTACTAAACTGTGTGCTTAGGAGGTTTTTTTGTCATTTTCATCCTGCGAACACCATGCAATTTAGATATTATCATTTCTGTCGTGTTATTGAAAAATACACAGAGAGTCAGAAATGGCAAACTCTTAAATACACAACAAAGCAGAAACAGAGGCGGGACTATAAGCTTTTTACCGTAACTCTGCTTACTAAAATGTCTGTCTGGTTTGTTTTTATTTTAGAAACAGTTTGCTAGATGATGCTAAGGCCCGCTTAAGAAAGTATGATATTGGAGGCAAATATTCTCACTTGCCATATAACAAATATTCCATCCTTTTGCCATTGGTGGTTAAAGAAGGAAAACTCCATTTGTTGTTCACCGTCCGGTCAGAGAAGGTAGGTGGACAAAAAATTTCCTGCCCTTAAACCTCAGGACATCAGAAAACCTCACGAGATTTTGTCACTTGCACACATTTCGATGCCAAAATTCTCAAAAGGGTTTTCAGAATTGTGATGCCAGAGGCATACAACCACAAGTCACGGCATAACATGGTGTTTCTTGGAGAAGGTTTAACAAAGAAAATGAAGGAATTTAGTTAGCAAGCAGTTTAAAATGCTTTCAGACTAGGGTTACCTAACCTTGGTGCTATTGGCCTTTGGGGCTGAATAATTCTTTGGTGTGGAGACTGTCCTGTATAACGTGGTGTGTTTAGCATCATCCTTTGGCCTCTACTCACCAGATGCCAGTAGCACACACAAACACAAGCTCACAAACACCTTTGTCCGGTATGCCAGTAGCATACACACCACAAATATCTTCAGAATTGCCTATTGTTCTGGCAGGATTGGCGGTGCAAAATTGCCCCCACCAAGGGCCACTGTTTTAAACTATCCCACCCCCAGTATAATGTGAAAATACTAGAGCACAGAAGTTAACAGCCTTGGCTCTAAAGCTAGCTATCCATGTTGAATCCAGGCTCTCCCCTTGCCAGCTGTGACTTTGGCCTAGTTACTTACCCTCTCTGTACTTCAGTTTTTTCACTTGTAAAATGAGGACAGAATATTAGTTACTGCTTCATACAGCTGCTATGAACATTTCACAGGATAACAAATGTAAAGCACCTATACAACCCTGGTACTTGGCAAGCAAGAATTCAGTAATTTTTGGCTGTCATCGTTAGTGTCAAGTGGCAGACATGACCTGAAGTTTTGAGATAAATGATGTCACTGTAAGGAAATATTGGGCTGGGAATGGAGTTTCTGGCTCACCCCTTGTATTGGTCCATTCTTGCATTGCTATAAAGAAATACCTGAGGCCAGGCGCGGTGGCTCACGCCCAGGCGCGGTGGCTCAAGCACTTTGAGAGGCGGAGGTGGGAGGATCACGAGGTCAGGAGTTTGAGATCAGCCAACCAAGATGGTGAAATCCCATCTCTACTAAAGATACAAAAGAATTAGCCGGGCGTGGTGAACACGCCTGTAATCCCAGCTACTCAGGAGGCTGAGGCAGGAGAAACACTTGAACCCAGGAGGCGGAGGTTGTAGTGAGCAGAGATTGTGCCACTGCACTCCAGCCTGGGTAACAGCGAGACTCCATCTCAGAAAAAAAAAAAAAGAAATACCTGAAACTGGGTAATTTATAAAGAAAAGAGGTTTCATTGGCTCATGTTTCTGCAGGCTGTACAGGAAGCATGACACAGGCATCTGCTCAGTTTCTGGAAAGGCCTCAAGGAGTTTACCATCATGGCAGAGGGCAGGGGGGAGCAGGAGCAAGAGAGAGAGCGGGGAAATGCCACACACTTTTAAATGGCCGCGGATCTCATGAGAACTCACTCACTATCATGAGGACATTGCCAAGATGATGGTGTTAAACCATGCGTGGGAAATCTGCCCCCATGATCCAGTCACCTCCCACCAGGCCCCAGCTCCAACAATGGGGACTCCAATTCAACATGAGATTTGGGCAAGAACAAATATCAAAATTCTATCACCCCCGCACCCATGAGCGCAATCACTTTCCCTTGCTGTGGGGAACTTTCAAGGAAAAGCTGGTGAAGCAGTCATTTTAAGGTTATCCACGTACAAAAAGAAAATAAGCCATGTTAACAGGCTTTTAAAGCAGAATAATGAAAAGTATTTTGTTTTTTTTAAAAAAAAAAAAAAAAAAAAAAAAGCCGAGGAATCAGCCGGAGTTTTGTGGATGTAGAAGTAGACTTGTGCGGATTGCGTTCGATCTGAGCCAGGCAGAAATGCCGTGAACTCAGGACATGATAGAAATCCAGGTTCCAAGGGGAGATACTTAAATGGAAACCAGGGGACCAGAGTCTATTCCCAGCTCTGCCAGTAAGCACAGGAGAAGCACTTACATATATTTAAAAATTATCAGATATGGCCGTGTGCGGTGGCTCATGCCTGTAATCCCAGCACTTTGGGAGGCTGAGGTGGGTGGATCACCTGAGGTCAGGAGTGCAAGACCAGTCTGGCCAATATGGCGAAACCCCGTCTCTACTAAAAATACAAAAAATTAGCCAGGCGTGGTGGTGGGCGCCTGTAATCCCAGCTACTGGGGAGACTGAGGCAGGGAGAATTGCTTGAACCTGGGAGGTGGAGGTTGCATTGAGCCGAGATCGTGCCACTGCACTCCAGCCTGGGCAACAGAGCAAGACTGCATCTCGATAATGAATAAATAAATAAATAAATAATAAATAAATAAAATAGAATTATCAGACAAACAATAATATAAGAAATCTAGACAATACTACAAACTCAACCAAGAGGGTCTCTAGTTTCTTTTGTTTCACCCAGAGCCACTTTTGCCCGTCTATTATTAAGGTCACTTTTAAAAAACTATTTAAATGTAATTCAATCTGATTGTGAACACTATCTGGCTGTGGGGGTGAGAAATTCCCTCTGGCGCTCTGCCCCTCACACAAGCAGGGGGCTGGTACGAGATTTCCCCCCAATAGATGGGGAGGGCAGGGCAAGAAGTGGGTTAACCCTTCTCAAATGTGCACTCTCCCAGTAGCTCTGGAACCTTGAACAAGTTTCTTTTTCTTTCTTTTTTTTTTTTTTGAGAAGGAGTCTTGCTCTGTCACCCAGGCTGGAGTGCAGTGGCGCCATCTCAGCTCACTGCAACCTCTGCCTCCTGGGTTCAAGCAATTCTTCCGCCTCAGCCTCCCAATTAGGTGGGATTACAGGTGTGTACCACCACGCCTGGCTAATTTTTGTATTTTTGGTAGAGACGGAGTTTCACCATGTTGGTTGACCAGGCTGATCTTGAACTCCCGACCTGAGGTGAGCTGCCCGCCTTGGCCTCCCAAAGTGCTAGGATGACAAGCATGAGCCACCACGCCTGGCCTGCAAAGTTCTTAAATCTCTTAATCGCCTCAGTTTTCTCATCCCTAAAAATGGGCCTGAGAACAGCACCTCATGTGCAGGGTTGTTATAGCCTGAAAAAGATCTGTAAAACGCCCGGCACGGCTGCTGGCATGCCATAGTGCTGCATGCTGTTGGCTGCTACCTATGTTTTCGTTTTCTCCTTGTCCAGGCCCACCTTGGATAAGGAACTCCTCTCAGAACCCTAGATCCCTGGTGCGCGGCAAAGAGCTGGCAAACCCCTTTCTCCATTGCACACCTGGGCAGAGCCCTTCAAGCCTTCAAAGCCACCCACTTTATAGCTTTCAGGAATTAGCTGCCCTGCACTATCGGTCCTCCTCTTCCCCACACCCTTGACCTTACATCGTCCTCTGTCCCCTCTTCTACCCTCCTCCAAACTCCTCCCTGCACCCCATTCTCTGGGACTGGAAGTAGGCAAGAGAAAATTCAAGAACAAAGCAAAGATTGAAGTCTTAGGAAATTAGGCTCCACCTTTATTTGGCCTCTGAGTAGCATTTCAGAAGGTTTTATTGAATAAAAATATGTATACTATTTGTCAAAGAAATGACTGACAGCTTTTGTACTTAGAGCCCTTTGCAGTGCTAATAGTTTTTGATTAGTCAGTTTTAGAAATGTGCCTATTTTCTTCAAAACAGTCTAACAGTTTCTTTTTTAAAAACAAAACTAAAGAGATAAACTTGTAGAGATTTGTCCTGTACAACATGATGTTTTGAAGTATATATTCACTGTGAAATGACTAAATCTGGCTAATTAGTGTACTACCTTACATAGTAACATATTACCACACATACTGCTCACATAGTCACATATCACCACATACAATACCTCACATAGTAACATATTACTATACATATTACCTCACATAGTAACATATCACCATATACATCATATAGTAACATGTCATCACACATATTTTCTTCAAAATAGCATTTAAAAAAAAAAATGGAGGCTGGGCATGGTGGATCACGCCTGTAATCCCAGCATTTTGGGAGGCCAAGGTGTGAGGATCCCCTGAGGTCAGGAGTTTCAGACCAGCCTGGCCAACATGGTGAAACCCCATCTCTACTAAAAATGCAAAATTAGCTGGGTGTGGTGGTGCATGCCTGTAGTCCCAGCTACTCGGGAGGCTGAGGCAGGAGAATCGCTTGAACCTAGGAGGCAGAGGTTGCAGTGAACCGAGGCTATGCCACTGCACTCCAGCCTGGGTGACAGAGCGAGACTCTATCTCAATAAATAAACAAATAAATAAATAAAATTTAAATCAATAGATAAAATTGTATAGATTTATCCTGTACGACATGATGTTTTGAAGTATCTATTCACTGTGGAATGACTAAATCTAGCTAATCAATGTACTAACTCACATAGTAACATATTACTATACATATTACGTCACATAGTAACATATCACCAGACATATTACCTCACATAGTAACATATCACCACACACATTACCTTTCATAGTACATATTAACACACATACTACCTCATGTGGTAACATATCACCACACACATTACCTCTCATAGTAACATATTAACACACACAGTACCTCATATGGTAACATATCACCACACGTAACATACTATCTCACATAGTCATCATCTTTGTGGTAAGAACACTTTATATCCACTCAGCAATTTTCAAGAATACAGTATGTTTACTATAGTCACCATAGTATAAAATACCTCTCTTGAATTTATTCCTCCTGACTGGCTGAAACTTTTTATCTTTTGGCCATCTCCCCAACCTCCCCCAAAACCACCTCAGCACGTGGTCACCACCATTTTACTCTACTTCTATGAGACCGACTTTTTAATATTCCACATATGAATGAGATTATATGTCATTTGTCTTTCTGCGACTGGCTTATTTTACCTAACGTAATTTCCTCCTGCTTCATCCATGTTGTCACAAATGACAGGATTTCCTTCTTTTTTATGACTGAATAATATTCCTCTCTGGATGTACATTTTCTTCATTCACTTGTTGATGGACACTCA